CCCCCCCCCCCCCCTATAGCGACACCCCTGTAAGTGGGAACGAATATTTTCTGTTTATATATCATTTGTGGGACATTTTAGTAATAAAGGACTTCGACATCCTAATTATAAATCAATGCACATTTGCACGCCAATTTTCCCGAAATCTATGATGATCTTTTTACCCCAGAATGTTGGACGTCTTAAAGTGCATGCCGTACTCTGATTATACGTGCGCGGGTTGTACATATGTCCCCTTGCCTGTAAACCAGCTTATGGGGTATCTAATCTCTCTATTTAATGTTTTGTTAAACAGGAAGGCGGCACGGCAGTCGATGCTGTAGAAGCAGCAGTACGTGTTTTGGAGGACAATGTGTTTTTTAATGCTGGCTATGGATCGGTTTTGAACCGTAATGGTGAAGTGGAATGCGGTGCAATGATTATGGAAGGACACACGTTAAACAATGGTAGAATTACACAGATTACTAGCTGTAATCCTTAAACCCCCTAACCCCCAATATATTCTATATAGTATCTTATTCTGGTTTACGAAATGTCAGAGACTGCTTAAAGATATTATAGAAGAAAACATATTATAGGTGTGCTTAGTGCCGCATAGTTTTCTACCGAGCACTTTTAAGTGTTTGTGTGGTCGATTCCAACATTCAGAAAAATGAATGCATGTGTTGATATATGGAGAAAGTTCGGTTTCGTTTGCCAGTATTTTTTGTTTTGATGCCATATAGCAGTATAGTGCTTGGTGCCGCTAATACATACAGGTGCCGCTTATACGCCGCCATTTAAACATACAGACATTTTTCGTATTAAACATCTTTCGGCGACTTCTCCATACAACCTACTTAAATCTTTAGGTACAGTAATCTCTGGAAGTATTTTCGTAATCACTGTAGTTTCTCTCTTCAAAAAAATCATGCATGAATCAGCTCATATTGTGCCTTAAGTGCAATTACAACTGCTTGCGCCTCTGACTAGTGATATTTAATAATGCTATTTTCGGATCTTTTAAAGAAACTCGTTATTTTGGGGATATCGTTATTTATTCATTCTTCATATTTAACACTCTTCCCTTTCAGGCTTCCCATTACCATGATTTTACTCACATCTTTAGGTGCAGTGATCTCTGGACGTCATTTTAAAAATCCTGTTTCTCTCTCCAAAGAAATCATGTACGAATCATCTTGTTGCGCTTTAAGTGGAGATGGCGCTCTGGAATTTGCTAGGGAAAAAAACTTTCCTATTTGTAAACCTGAAGAACTGATACATACCCCAGGGCCAACCCCCGCGGACGGCCCAGACACATCACGCACAGACACAGTAGCTGCTGTTGCTATAGATGCCAATGGTCATTTGGCGTGTGCAACGTCAACAGGTACATGTAGAGTTGCATTTGTGAACATTTGTTTTTTAGAAACTTGGAAACCATGTAATAATGTAATCAATATTAACGAAATTCGTGATCACTCTCATCATAAACATAAACAACCAGCTAGACAACTACAGTAACTGCAAGGAAAAGAGCAACAACGGCATCAACAGACAACAGCAACAACAAGAACTAGGGATCCAAGATCCAAGGATAGTGTGAAGTTTCAAATTTAAAAAGACACTGCAAGAACTATATAGGGTCGCCGACAACCTAGAAAAGCTTGATGGCTTACACTACGAAATAAACAGTTACCAAAGGCATTTCATCTCATTATTTATTGCTTTTAATACGTTCGGCACACGAGTAGCGTGACGTTTGAAACAAACCTAACACACCACGCAGAAACGTGCCTTGTGAAACTGATGCAATTTATCTATTTATTGTGATGCTACACGAGATAATTCAAAATTTAAATTGTTTCACCAACAACCAAAATTTGCATATATTCTAAATTTTCATTTGTATTTGCATTTGCAGCTGTCGCTAAAAGCATCCCCACGAGGCTACTGCTATGCTAAGCACTATTTAAAGCACGCGTAGGAGTGTTTTATCACATATAAAACACGACGCGTAGCGGAGTGTTTTATATGTGATAAAACACGACTACAAGTGCTTTAAATGGCTTCAAAAACGACTCATCTTATACGAGTTCATTGGCGAAGTAATTTTGAAAATAAACTTTGTCTAAACCGAGAAAATGAAAGCTAAAGTTTATGTAAATTAACATGATTTTTTATCGCATATAAAACCACATGTTTCACAATAGCAAGTCTCATTGACCTTTGACTTTTCCCAGTGTCACGTCTATTTTCAGCTTTTCGCATGTGTTACGTCACTTTAGATTTCAACAAGACGCCTGCTCAGGCGTTCACACTGGCCTGAAAATGGCAACTTTCGTGGTACTGGGTGTAATGTGTAGTAGAGAAGTAGATAGGGATACAGGATCATAGGGATACTGGATCATATAAATACAACCAATAAATACAATCATGATCAGCAACTATCAACCATAATATACCAAGACGCCGGCTCAGACGTACCCTCCGGCTACGGGCAACTCAACCTGACAAGCCAGGCCCACTGTAATACTATGATCATCAACTACCAACCGTGAATAATGACGGGCCAATAATAGCGAAGAAATTATAGTCCTTGATTTTTAATGCCGTTATATGGCTAGTTTCAGGTGCTAAAAAGTTCATAGACGTAGACGATTCTTCTAAAAAATACGCCAATTTGCTTCCATTTATAAGATAAACTGATCCCAACCCAAAGCCCTTCTCTAACCCCAACCAGTAAACATCTAATAAACAATTTGAGAATTAAAAAAGTGGGGGGAAAGTTGGATCTTGTTCCAAAAACAAATCGAACCGTATCACGTTTCACTTCGCCGCACGCAACGCCACCTCGCTGAATACAATCGAAAACATACATTTTATAGTAATATATGATGAATTAGAAAGTAATTTGGCGCAAATTAATGTAATTAGGTGCAAATTTATAATTATGCAAATAAATACAAGAGCACAACGCATGTTTATGAGCCTACGTACAACGTATATTTATACTTGTTAATTAAAAAGTCAAACTGTCAAACCTTTAACTTGTCCTTGTTTATATTCCACTATATTGTATAAATTCGCTGGGTCCAAATTTTGGGGTTTTCGAGTCGTTACACAAAGAAAAACACACTAATTCAACACGCAAGAAAGGCCAGAGTGCGACACAACGTAAAATCCATAGGAAACCGGCACAATTCTTTGAAAATTCAACGAAACTGTGTGAAATATATATTAGATCGCTCAGTGAAAAGCCGCCATTTTGAAACTGAACTGAATATGTCACTGGAGCACGTTGCACCCTGAGCCTGCGATGACCTAACGCAAACTCCATTTCTCGTCGAAAACAGAAAAAGAGGGATTTAAGACACTTGGCCTACAGGCCAGTGTAATTAGTTTCACAGTTGAGCAGTGTTTAAAGCCGTTTTGACAAGCTTTGAACAGTTCTGTGTACAGAATACTACAGATTGATCCTCGTAAGATCTGGTAGAGTTATCGTTGCACTGAACAAGAGTTTGCACCGTTGACAACGGCGTTGTGCTAGACAGTAAACAAAGACAAGGTCCGTGACGGTACACGTTGGCTACATGTACCTCCTTGCTTTTTTCTTCTATTGCATAACGCTTGTTGGCGAGCCAAGCGATTGGCGATAACACGTTGGCGATAACACGTTGGCGATAACACATTGGATATCTCCTCGTCTTTCTTATTTAAATAAGGAGCTCTGACTAAACTGATTTCTTTAGTCTCGCAAGTTATTTTCTTCGTAAACGCCGTATAAACGTTTACCCGCTTCTGTTTAATAGTTGTTTATGCTTTATTGATCTGATACAGATCTGATGCAATTTTTCGCTCTTTGTACTGAGTGTAGCCATCTATTCTGTGATGTAGCACCTTTATACAATCAATGACAATGTATAATGAATACACGGTCTAAATAATATCGATGGACACTCAATTGAATGCCGGTATTAAATGTATAACATAATATTGTATTATTGCGTAGAATCTCAAAGATTTTCTCAACATTCATGTCTCAAATGTTTATATACTTGAAAACAACACTGTCTCGCTTCTGCCTACGTAGCCTACTGTACCTCTGTATAATGAGTATGCCGTGAAAATAATATCGGCACTCATTTGAATGCCTAGAATCTCAAAGAAATTCTCAATATTTACGTCTGAAAGGTTTATACATTTGAAAAAACACTGTCGCTCCTTCCTAGCTCTGTATATTGAATATCATTACCGTCTACATATATCAGTACTTGATTGAAAGACCGTCATGCATATATAACATAAATTTATACTATTGCGTAGATTCTCAAAGATTTACTCAATATTTATGTCTGAAATGTTTATACATTTGAAAACAACACTGTCGCTCCATCCTAGCATCGTGATCTACGGCTTCATAGCGCATGCGCATTTGCCCTGCTATAGAAAAAATCGGGTGTTCTGGGGGAAAGATCCTTCACACAACATGAGAAGCGAATGTTCTAAAATTACAAAAATTTACAATAACGACAACGATTCCTCGAAATTTTTGTGAACTTAGCAAAAGGACAAAAGAGTATTTAAAGAAAATAAATAAAATTGCTTAAATAACCTTCAAAGCACTGCCTAAGTACAATAAATCACTGCGAACATAAATCGTATACACCCCCCGGAAAGTTTACTCTATGATTGACTGACTGATTCGTGTGAATTCGCCAGCCATC